AGAAGCTGATTGGATATCCTGCTCTGGCGCAGGTCCTCAACCATCGGAAGATCGAGATGCAGGCGTTTGACCTCATTGTATCAATGTTCCGATACCTACCGCTTGCTGCCTATAAAGAGTAAAGCGATTATGCTCTTAAACTAGCACGGGATGGAACATCGCCTCAGTTCCTTGGCCGGTATATTGACCGTGTTTTTGACGAAGTTGCAGAAGAAGAACACGGCTGCTTTAACTAGGAAATTCGCGATAACTCTGAGTGTGTTCGTGTAAGTCGGCTATCACCCTTAGACTAGGTCCTCAGTCTATCAAAGTGAAAATATTGACGTTATTGGTAGATACTGTGTTCCAGATGGTCCTAAGGTATTGCTTACAACCCTGGAACAGATACAAGCTGGACTATCTGTTATGGTTGTGAAGTCATTGTGGATGTCAGCATTCAAGGGGAATATGGGTGGCAAAGAGAACAAGAAGGTGCGTAGCTATTCGAGAGGATGCAGGCGCTCATGAGGGCTGGTCGACAGGTTTGCCTACTTTCTGCGGCTAAGTTCGTGAGTGACCCTACCGTCCAGAGCAATGGAGAGATAATGCATGCCGTAAGTCATCACCGGATTTATTGCGTCACAGAGCGGCACAGGTTCTAATGGGAATATCTGAACTGCTGGGTTTGAACGAGAGAGAGCAACAGCCAGGGAATTCATTGCTTAACCCTAAGCTTAATGATGAGGATGATGATTATGAAGATGACGATGCTGAAGATCGAGAGTAACGCAAATGTTGAATATATTGTTTGATCCTTTCATCCGTCCCAATAGATACGCAGTTACCTTTGCACGCCTTCACTCGACCGAGATGCCCGGCCATGCTGACTATGCCCCATCAGTAACCGACGTCCCGGGTAGTGTTAAACAGGCCTTGCGTGGCATTGATGGTAATGATGGGGCGGTGAACAGCCGATGGTAGTCCTTGCATTTCTAGGCCGGTTCCTCGCCAATCCACCACAAGAGCTGGCGCGTCTCAGCACATGGGTGAGGACCTAAGTATCAGAGCTCGTGTTTGCAACGATATACTGGAATTTTCACCGTCTGATCTGCCATATTTTGTTATATGTGAGGGGGGGGACTGCTCAGCAATAATCGCCTCTCAGTGAATCGTCCTTTTTGCTTGTAAGTGCTCATCATCGATTACCTGAAAATGTATTATGGTAAAGCTAACCCAGATCATGAGATGTATGCCCAGGATATGCCACAGTACAGCTATGCTTCGAGGCTCTATGATTCCGACCATGCTGATGATCATCATGACAACATTCCAACCACAACTATAGGGATGGTTAGGAGGTCCAGAAGCAATACTCCTAGTAAAT